TAACTTGCGTTTTCTCTTTAAATGTGTAAAAGAACACCTTGCTCTAGTGTTCATCCAAGAAGCAGTAGAACTTTGAGTGGAAAAGTGAGAAAATATTGCAATAAAGGCACTTATGTTGAGCTGTGTGGGCTGATACTCTAATGCTGTTTCTTAAATTTTAAAAATATTTGCAGTAACTCTTATTTTGTTACTTTAGGAAAGGTAAAAAAGAAGCATTGAGATTTATTTAGGAGTTGTTATTGATTTTTTTTTCCACTAGCAACTGGTGAGACTGTAATAGAAAAAGAATTGCTCTTGCTTGTTTTCATATAAACCCTAATACAGAAGGGCAGGGGGAAATATCTCTGGGTTAAGGGATCATAAACTCGGTTGTGCTGGCTGTGTGGAAGTGGCTTTCTGGTAAAAACAAACAGAAAAATGGGTAACTTCCTAGGAAACTCTTAGTAAATGTTTGGTAAGTCTCCAAGAGGAAGCAATGGAGTAGTTTATATTTTAAAACGTGGCTGAGAAAGTTCCCTGTCTAGCCCTCATTTACTACCTAAGGGTAAAATCTGTGCATTCCTGTCAGGGGTGTTTGATATGGCAGACAGGTACATTGAAAGGCCTGCTAAAATCCCTCTTCTTCTCCCAAAAGGCAGCATGTGGAAGTTTGCCTTCCTGAGATGGTGAAGAAATATTCAGTAGACATTCTCTCTGCACCTCTGGTCAATTAAATGCTTAAAATGATGTATGTTCCTCATATTTTATATATCAGAAAAAATCAATTTAACAGCTTACTGCAGATGTTCTTGCTAAGTGAGACTGTAGCTCTCTTCTTAAAGCACAGAAGCTGCTGTGGGAGCAGGTGACTGAGGAGATTCTCTGCCCAAATTTCTGTGGTACAGAGCAAATGAAACTGCTGAGGAGCAACTTCTTTCTGGCTTCTCATTTTACCTTTTTTGCTCCAACACTGTATTTTTCAGATTCTGCAGGACTGGCTGCACATTTTTAGGACCAATAATGCTATGTAGTTCAGTTATGCTGCAAGCAGGAGTTAATCCCCCAAAGGCACTGCACTGCTAACTGATCTTTAGGCTGAAAGTTGTGCAATCCCTTCTTAAGACATTTTTACAGAAACCCAGACGACTGCTCATGATGACTTCAGAATCAGAGGAGGAATCAGATTAATTCTCAATTTATTCGTCAGGTTATTCTCGTTTATTAGTCAGGTTGAACTAAGAGAAATCTATAATTTATTACTTGAACTGAAAGAAATTATATTCATTTTAAGTCAGCACAATTTCAAGAGCTTTTTGAGAAAACTTTTGTAATTGAAAATTATTGGCTTGCAGAGAACAAAACTCTGGCAGAAGCATTTACTCTTCCTTTCAATATAGATGGGATTTCTTGTCACAAAACCTCTGCTTTATGTGATTTATAGCAGCATGAAACCTGGTACATTAAGAATAGGGTTCTTTTTTTTTTTTGCATGTTGTTCATCCTGACCAAAGGAGATCCTTGGGTAAGAAGGCAAACCTGGGCAGTAATTATGACTGAGCTTTGCTGATTTATACATCATCTATCAGTTAAATTAATCCATGTATTTATTTAGGTCCAGTCATTAATGGTTCATATTTGTTATATTTGCATACAAGAGCCCCAAAATATCTTGCAGGAGCTACTTGTTTTGCAACATTTAAATATTTTTATTTAATCAGCGATGCTACAGTTGGCAGTTATAAGAACAGGAAATAAGGTGCAGGGAAAACCAGTTTCAGGTTCAACATTATTGTTGCTAAACTTGTGCAATTTTCTTCCTCCTTTTAACCTGGACTTTTCATTAAAATTATGTATGGTTTTAAAGAGTCACTACCTTTCAGAACATGTCAGCTTAAGGATTTGAGGGTGACAGGCAAGCTCTACTTTTTATATTTGTGTTTGCATCACTTTCTGTAAGTCTTAAGATACCATTCAGTACTTTGACTACTTCCTGTGCTCTTTTCATTCCACTGATACCACACAACTCCAGCACGAAAAGAGAAATAATGAAGGGTTTAAAGTTTTGTGTGAAGGAGTACATGGAAAGATGTTAAATTTGTTAAAAGATTGCTGAGATTAAGAGATCTGTATAAAGCTGGGATGTTTGAACTGAATCATTACCTTTGTTCCTTCTGGCAATTTAATCTTTAATCTTCCATGAAGACTCTGTTTTATATTACTGAGCTCTGAAAAGGATCCTCCCAAACCTTCAAACACCCTCAAACATGAAACAGGAAAAGCATTTGAGCCTGAGAGGGGCCTTTTGTGTTGGAGAGTCTGTCCTTTGGCACACAGTGGCTAAAGAGTAGAGCATTTAAAAACGGTGTAGGATAAGTACAGGGATGGAATTTGGGGAACCCTCACATGTTTACAGGTTGATGCACCTTGCCAAGGTTCCTTTTGCTGGGTTTTCTAACCTGGCAAACCTGACAGAAGGTTGATCACTGCCTAAATTGACTTTTCTAGAATTCCATGGATGTGCACCCCACTGGAGCTTCAGTCCCACGGGGACCTGGGGATGAACTCAGTCATTGTTGTGCTGCAATCCAGGAATGACAGAGCAGGATAAAACTGCTGGGCTGTGGGAGCAGCTCCCATCCCTGTCAGAAAGGCTGGGAGAAGGGAAATTGCAAATATTTGGTGAAAAGGGAGAGGTGGTATTGGGAGAAATCCTTGGTGATGAGACTTTTTAATTTACTTTTATTAGCTCAATTTGCTGAAGCCAGAACCTGTCTCTGACCTGAGTGATGTCAGTTTTATGGATAAATATGCTGACCACATACAAGTGTTTTTCTCAGTTTCTTACAAATCTGATAATTTGGTACTTTTTTTTCTGGGAAAGCAAGCACAGTAAAAACCACTAAATTTAAATGAAGTAGTTTAGAATAAGCTTGATCTGTTAATTTTGTAGTTTACTGCAAGGTTTAAGTAGTCCTCAAAAAGTGTTTGAATTCAAAAGTTGAATCAGGATCCAGACCTGACTTTTTTACCTCTGCCTATTCTGCTGGCTGAAACAAATTAACTGTAGTTTTCTTTTGAAGGTGAATGTGAAAGATTGAAAAAAGCCAAGGAAATGAACTAACATATGACTCAGAATCTTGGATTTTTATTTCACAATTTTGGCTCGTTGTTATGGTCTTTATATCTTCTCCTTATCTTGAGTTACATATAAAATAGTCTGATCTTTTGTAGTTGAAAACAGAAACCTTGACTCGTGTTTTGGGTTGTCTGGGCTAATTCCATATGAAACTCTTTCTAAAGAAAAAAAAAATCAATTGAAATGACCAACAATTTTCACATAGAAGAGCTTAAGTTGTAGAAATATTTTCCATCTCACTCATATCCCCTGCCTTATAATTTTGTCTTGTGATATTTGCAGTCTCTGATGTGGGTTTTTTCTATTAAAAACTGTTGTCTGGAAACTTGGAGCCTGATAGAATTTTTTTCCCCTAACTTCATTTTGACAGTAAACTGGGGCTTGGAACAGTTTGTGATACAACTTCATTATAAAATCCTAAAAATGTCCTGTCTCATTTTCTGTCATTTCTTAAGACATTTTTTTTGCCATTCCTTAGTATGTAACACCACAAACATCGTTTGTAATTCTGGATTTTGAGGGAGGTTTCTCTCAGTTCATGAAAAATAAGAGTTCAGCTATCCTGAAAATATACTTACACTCTGCTTTTTCCATGCATATTGTTGTGTAAGTAAAATTGTATCAGGTAGTAATTTAGTGTCTAATTTCTAAAAGCCATTAAAAGCTCTTTCAAAACTCGTGGAATTTTCACTGCTATGAAACAAAGCTCCTGAAAGCTCTGCCTGGTGATTTCCATTAGAGATCAACTTCACTTCTTTTAGTACATGGTTGATGTAGTTAATGACTGATGTTTTAAAGCTTGAATGAATCAGACTGATCGCTGAAAGAATAAGCAGCTTGCCTAAATTAATATGTTTCAATCAGCTTTTGCTGCAGAGATGTCAGTGCCACATTGCCCTTCACGCTCACTTCTCCCTTTTAATTGTTCTCACCATGCCTTGTGCACTGGGACAGGCACTGTAAATAGCATTTAGGGTTTGAATTCTCACCTGCACTTCAATACAGGTGGGAATGGTAAGTGCAGGGGTGAAACTGAAGTGAAGTAGTGCATAGGAATAAAGAGATAGTGTTGGCCAAATTTGTAACAAACCTTTTTTTCTGTGGCAGAACAGAGTGCCAGCATTTCTTGTCTCTCTGAAGGGATTCACTGTGGTCCCTTGTAGTCCCCTTGAGGACTTGGGTGCTCACAGCCTGCTGAACAGGTCTGGAGATGGACATTGCTAGGACTATGATTTGGCATTATTCACATAGATGGAATGTAAATTAAATTTAAAAAATAATTCCCAGCAGTTTTGGAAAGAAGACAAAAGTCCTTTTCAACTTCTTTCACTGTTTTCTTAAAGTGAATGTTCATTCAGCTGATTTTTTAGTGTCTATTAGATACAGTCTTGAGCATGTGTTTAATTCTTTTTAACCAGAAGTTGGTTGCCATAAATACTACCACAAATATTGTGCTTTTTTGCTGACTTTCTCCAGCATTGTGGCGTGGATCTGTGAGGCTGCAGGGAGGTTAAAGGGTTTGCAACAGCACTGGACGGGAACTGCAAAAAAAGTTTCTGCTTAAAGTCTTTGTCCCCTGTCAGTTTCCAGATTTAATAATGATGGAATTTGGGACAGGACAAAGAGTTGCTATCTGCTGTGTATGTGCAAGAGATAAAGCACATATGCAATAATAAAACACTCTTTAGAATCTGATCTTTGGTCTCTTAACATGCTGAACATACCTTTTTTAACCGCAGTGATTTATAGTCTGGCATAACCATGCAGAATCACTTCATTCTATTTGAATAATGAAAAGACTGCCATCAAGATGGCATGTCTGTGGGGAGCTTTCTGAGGCAATACTTTAAACAAATGACTTTTTAGATAAATTTATTATGAAGTGTGATGAGAGCCATTTTTCTTGGCAGGCACATCTTGCAAAATCAATGAGGATTTTTGTGCTGTAGTGTTGAGGTGAGTTGTTTTTTTTAATCTCTTACATAAGTAATGGTTGAGTCCATAGGAGCAATGGTTGGTGTTGCTGGCACTGTGGAAAGGGGATAAATGCTGTAATGGGCAGCTGTAATCCTGTCTGATCATGTCTGCTTGCTAAATATTTGTGAGCCAAACTTGCAACCTAGAACCACAATCGGTGGAAAGTTTATAAGTTGCTTTAAAAAAAAATTTAAAAGTATCCATGAGCACTCATTCTCTTTTGTTGTGCAAAAATGTGATTTTATGCAATTTTTTAAAAACCACAACAGAATTTGATTAACATTTATTCTGTCAAAGAGTACTCAGCCTTTGAGTACTGGCAATTGGTTAAATTGTGTTATGAAAAGTTTACAAAACCACCTAGAAATCACCAATATTATTATTTGTGTAACATCAGAAATACCATTTTGATTTCTCTGGCACGTTTAGCATCCTTGAACCTCTTGTTTCAATAGCTAACATTTGACTACTAGTAAGAAATAAACTTTGTTTTCTCAAATCTCTGCATTGGTTTTGTAACAAAAGTTGTTCAAGGAGCAAATCTCTTACATTCTGGACAAATATGTATTGAAGGAAGATAGCTCAGGCTGTTTCTCAGAGATCTAAATTTTGAGCTGTTTTTCACTTTCAGAAAGTTATTTGAATATGTTTTTCTGTCTTGAGGTGACCCCTTCTTGGCCGTTTTTAAATATAATATCAAGAATAGAATATGTTTTAAAAGAGGCTGATATTTTTAAGAGGTGGAATTATGTCTATAAAATCACTGGCCTTTATGTCTTTCATAACTGCAAAAGTTTTTGTGTTCCAATCCAGGTATCATTGCCTGAAATGTATTAACAAACAGGAGAGTAAAAAGATCTTGATTGCAACTCAGTACACCGGGGTTAATTACCTGAAATAACCACTGAGTGTCCTTTGATGCCTCCTTTTCTATACCTTGAAAAGAGGATATTTTCCAGTTCTTGTGAAGAGATCTAAAACTCAACATTTCCAAGTAATTGCTATGGATTACTAATATTCCCCAGAGTTTAAAAAAAAGGAGGTACAAAAGATGCTGGGAGAATGGACTTGTTACTAGAGCAGAGCTGACTCCTGTCCCAGACATGGAAATGTGAGCTCAGGATTTGGGGGCTGCCAGCCTGGGTGCCCAGTGAGGGAGGCAGAGCTGTGCTGCAGCCACCAGAGAGCTGCTGCAGGTAGAACAGAGGATGACTCTGCCCTGTTAAATTCTGCTCAATCCTCCTCACCCTGACAGATTTCACTCCATCCCTGAACAGAGCCTGCAAACAAATCCTGCATGGTCAGAGAGAAAAATCTGTCCTTTTTTCCTGGCAAGATTGTTTACAATTTCAGTTTAAAAAATTTCAAAACTGATTTTAGCAATAAAGAGCAGTAAGAATTTTCTCCCTCTTTAAGGAAATCTTATATAAAATTTTAACTCAGTAACAGCTTTTACTGGGAAGTTCAGTAGCAAGTTGCAGTGAGGTTGGACTCACTGACCCTTAAGTAAATGGATATTCTATTAGTCCCTGCATTTGAATGTTCTATATCTTGTTGCATTAACTTAAAAGATATTCAGTCATGAGGAAAAAGTAACTGTAATCAGTTTTCCTTTTTTGAATTTCAGTTTTTCCTACAGTAAATGCAAAGCTATCTGTGTTTAATTCCTCCAAATGGGTTAATTGATTCCACAGACACCAAGTGTGTGACCTGAGTTCTGGTTTACTGAGTTACTGAGCGTGGCAATGAGATGATGCTTTTATTTCTGTTTCCTTTGGTGAGTGCATTTTGATCAGAGCTGTGACAGATGTGAGCTGGAGGTGTTAGGAAGGAGACTGCCCTTCACCTTGGGCAGGTCCAGCACAAAATTGTGCAGGGGCTGTGCAAACAGCACGGGCTGGGTAAGCACGTGTGCTCTGCAGGATGAGCCTGCCCTTCACCTTGTGTCAGACTTCCTATTGAACTAATTCATAATTTGATTTTTGACATCTCAGTAATTACTGGCAGCAAAAGCCTGTATTTTAATGGTAGCAATACACTGCAAAGCACATTTAATTTTGACGGAAACTTCAAATGACTTTGCCTCAGCTGCTTGCCTGTTCTTTGTGGGCACTTTTACAATCAGCTGAGGACTTGTAGAGAAGCTTTTGGTCAAAGCTGTTTGCTCCCAGGGACTTCATTGGCTCCATCAGGCCAGGGTGTGATTAGAAGGGGTTGTTAATCCCTCCTGGAGCTGACCTTTTTCAGGCCAAACACACACCAAGGCATGTGCACAATCTGATTTCTGTTGGATCTGATTGCCTCTAAATCCTGATGACCCTTCAAAAGCTGCTGTGATAATCTGAAATTATACCAAATAGAGACCTTGTCTCCCAGAAAAATCAAAATATTTAACAGCAGCTTTTCTCCCATCCCTACAAATGTTGTTGTTGCCCAAACCTCCCTGTGTGTTTGCTGCCAGCAAAGGGTCGGACAGCACAGGCAGAGGTGCTGGAATGCCAGCTCCTAGTTCTGATGAGATCTTTGTCAGGCACGATGCAGAACTCAAAGGAGCACTTTCCTTGGTGCTGCCTGTAGACATCACAAGCTTCTGGCTCTTCATTTCAGTGACAATTTGGAGCTTTTCAGTGCTTTTGTAGCCAACAATAAAAAAATCTCTGCTCCATAAGGACAGATTTTTTTCTGGACTAGCAAAGTGTTTCTGGAGAGGCTGGAGCTGCTGTCCATTCAGAATTTGACAGAAAACTTGGTTAAGGAAAAATGAAAAATTGACTTCTGAGTTAATAGAAGTATTTCTGTGGGTTTGACAGATAAGGACAGAGTTTAAAAGAACAGCTGGAATTTAGGAATTTCAATTTAGGAACTGAAAGGAGTTGAGGATTTTCTCATGTCAAACACATATTTTGTCTGTTGTACTTATTTTAGACTGGTTAATTTTCTGTTTTGTTTTGTTTGTTTGTTGCTTTTGTTTGGGTTTTGTTTGGTTTTGTTGTTACTGTGGTGTGGGGTTTTTTTGGCTGGTTGACTTTTTTTTTTTTGTAAAGGTTCAATTGTGATTTTGGAAAAAAATTTCTAAATAATTCTTTAGAATGAGGCTGGTGGCTTGCCTGTGTTCCTCCAGTATGTTGATACTGCTCATTACATTGCAGCATCACTAAGTCCTTTATAGTGCTCGTCATTCTGTAAAAGATTAAGTTAAAAACATGACTACAAACTCAGATCCAGCAATATATGCAGTTCAGATTTCTGCAGAATGTTTCTTATGCATTCAGGATGTATTTCAGCCACAATATGCCCAAGGTGAGGCTGACAGCAGATTAACCTTGGTGGTTTTGATTGTGTAAAGCAGGGATTACATCTACACGTTTGCTGCTCAGGTAGCTGATGGAAAGAGGTTGATATTCTGAAGCCATAGGATTCTGCCTGGTTAATGTTTGATCCTTTAGCAAAATGCCTGCCCAGACCCCCATTCTTCTTGGTTTAAAAATATCAATATTATTTGGGTGACGTTAAACAGCATAAGGAAAAGCAGTGGAAAGAATTCTGCTTGTTGGAGCTTCCAGCTAAGCCACTGTTTGGCAACTGCTCTAAAGTAGTTGTATGCAGCAGTTGCTCACATACAAATATTTGTGATTAGGGTGGAGGGGGTGTTGTGAGCTTCTCCTGGCCCTGCTGTGCTTCAGCTTTCTTTTGTGGAGAAAAGGTGAAATCAAGAAGAGGGGAAAAAATAGGACACTGTGGATATAGTTGAAAGTGCAATTGCTATGAAGTTGAATTGTGCCAGAGGGAGTAATGGAATCTGGGATACTTTTAATTTCAGCAGCAGGGCTGTGCTCTGTAGGTGCTCAGGAAGGAGCACAGGGATAGCTCTCCTTGGTCACTGTTTCCCTCTGGGCACTTGCAAACTCTTCATGAATAACTTGCTGGTTCCAGCTGTCAGTGATTTGGAGCAGCTCCTGGTTACCAGTGCCTGGGAGCTTCAGGAGACACCTTCCCTGTGATGGGATGAGGGGAGGGTGCCAAGCTTTGCTTAACTAGGAAAGCCTGACAGAGGAGCTGCACCACAACAAGGTGTCTAAAGGCCAGCACCAGCTCATGAGGAGTTCCTGAACAATGCCAGCCCGGGCTGGTTTTAATCCTCTGGAGACTGATAACCAGCCTTGGTGTCACCACCCATCCTCCTGTGAATATGCAGTTGTGTACTCAGCCAGCAGAGGTGGTTTTGCTTTCTTGCTCCTAAAGATTTGCAGCTAAGCCAAAAAGCCAAGCAAGAAAACCTGAACCATCCCACCTGTAAAGATAACTGGGCAGCTGCCAAGTAACACAAACACACGGATTCCAGTGGGAGGTTCTGTCAAAAGCTGATTTTTACAGAAAGCAGAGCCCCTAGTCAGTATTTAATCTGGCCATGTTATTGCTATGATGTGTGGCAAGAAGGTTACCTGAGATAGTTTGGAAAATGCAATCTGTCTTTTACTATCAAGTAAATAGAATGTGCTCTGAATTATAAGAAGCCTAAATTCAATTTAACCACTGGCCAAAGAGCCACCTGTGACTCTGTGAATGAATCTCAGGCAGGCCCAGGTGTTCATTAAGTCATGGGGATGCACAGAGCTTTGATTCAGGAACTTCTGAATGGGATTTGGTTTTTAACCAACCCCATGTCCTGCAGGGGGATCTTGATTCTCTGTTTTAATCAGGAAGCCACACTGAAATTTTTGTGAAATGAAAGAGAAGAAATATAAAGTGAGGTTCAGGAATATATTAATTGAACAAAAGCTTTAGTTCATGGAATCCTAATATCAATAAAGCCATGTGGGGTGCAGGCTGAGATAATTTGCTCTAAGGTGTTTTCTTATTGCATGGGTGTGACTTTAAACCCTGGTGTGCTTGGAACTCCATGAGATTGTTTGTTGCTATGAATTACTAAATGTGTAAGGATGCTTGAACAGCATCTGTATGTGGGAGTGAAAATGAGC